ATGAGACCAAGAAATCGCAAATACAACTATAAAAAACATACGAAAAAACACTGCAAAGTTGCTGTTTTAATCGAAAAATCATGATTTCATTTTTTTCTCTCATTATACACAGTGTGCTGCAGGATGTGTTTTATGTGGTGCACACATACCACATAGATGTATTCTCTCATATCTAGGCCCAAATGTACCACTCACAGTTTATCAGAGTGAGCTGAGCTCATGGCGTAGATCTACGGTTTGGACCCTGAACGTAAAGCCGTAGATCTACGGGACGGACCCTGAAAGAGTTAAATAACATACATTATTAAAGCATAACATGTATATATTTAGTACAATTTACGACGTTTTCATGTATTTTATGATTATTCATGGTTCAACAAGTTAAGGATGCAGTATTGTAATATATTTCCCTACAATATATTGGGGCACCAAACATTCACAGTTTTTCAACATTCGTGAGGCTCTTGATCCCATAACCCTCGCGAATGTTGAGGGAGACCTGTATATACGTTCACTCGCGCAGCGCCCCAAATTTTTTGAGGAAAAAAAAAATCTTTTCTTTTAAAAGGAAAAAAGAGCATATGGTACCAAGGCATCCCCAATTATTTTAATATGGCGCACCGTGAGTGCGCACACCCATTCTCTCATGTCTAGGTGACTCAGGCTTATTGTGGCAATGTTGAATGAATGACAAAGAAAACGTATATATACGTTTGGGGCGCTACGCGCATGAACGTATATATACGTTTGGACCGTTTAATTAAGGGTTAATGACAAAGTTCCGTGCTTAAGACCACGTCGGTAAATGAATTCGTCACTAAGTGAGGAGCATACTATAATGGTAGTGAGTCTTGTGTCAACCATCTTTGATATTGTTCTAATGTCACCTTTGCACCATTTATAACATTTCTGGTATATTTTTAAATGTTTATACTGTAGTTTACTGTATACTGTAATGAACAGAATATAGGAAATCAGCTCTAATATAAATTATTTAGGTATGCATACTGGTCAGAAAGCCTGTCGCAAGTCCGAGTCGTTGGTAAACAAATACGTCACTAAGTGAGGAGAGGCCGTATACTAATCAACTCATAGCTCCTAAGTGTCAAAACCCCAATTAAGCTAATGAACTCATAGCTTCCAAGTGCTAAAATTGCCATTAAATTAATCAAATATAAACTCCAGTGCCAAAACCCTCCAGCAAACTAATCAATTCACAGCTCTCATATAGTATTGTAAGAATAAGTACTATTAACCCTTCCAGGTTCCAGACCCCGATCGGAAACCTGTCCACAGGGTCCAAGAATTTAAAAATTAAAAAAAAAATTTTTTTTTTTCTTATGAAATGGTAGAGAATCTTTTTCTGAAGGTAATAAAAAAAATATGAAATTTGATGGAAAATTGACGAAATTACACTCGTGAATTTTGCTGTGTCAGCGATAGCTACACATCAGCGATTTTGACCACTTTGACTCCCATTTTAGGCCAATTACTGTACATCATTCCAGTTGACCAAATTCTTAGCTATTTTGCTAGTATTACTTCTATTTTATCAAATAAGCACAAGAAATCACTCAATCAACTATTTCAACTACCCATTAAATTGACTGGAAATTGGTAATCTGGCCAATTTCACACAAGTTCAAAATATTCCAATTTCAAAATAGTGTCCAGAATAAACAATGCAGGCATTCGTGGCACTAAATTAACATTTCATCTATTTATTAGTTACGTTTCCGGGCTTTACAAATGAATTCCATTTTGATTTTTTATTCACATAATGAATTTTTATTCACACCAAAACCTAATTTACAGATATGCAATATTGTAATAATTGCATAAATAATATCAGCGCATTCGTGAATGCACATTAGACCCACCAGCTGACATGTATGACATCATTCGTTTACTCTCAAACATCAGCAAAAATCGAACATTTCCGCTACTTTGAGTTCAGTTTCAAGCCATTTTCAGTTCTAAAACCAATGAAAATCACCTCTATTTCTGTAATATATCTTCCATTCTATCAAATGAGACCAGGAAACCGCTAATACAACTGTAAAAACACATACGAATATATGCTGCAAAGTCACTGTTTTAATCCAAAAACACAGTTCCAGTTTCTTTGTCCTCATTATGTACTGCATGCTGCAGAATTTGTTTTACTGTATATGGTGCACAATTACCACATAGATGCTCACAGCTTATCTGAGTGAGCTGAGCTGATGGCATAGTACTACGGCTTGGATCCTGGCTTCAAAGCCGTAGAACTATGGGACGGACCCTTAACCATGGGACAACTCTTTCAGGGTCAAGACTCCTGATCTCAAATTTACTCTCAGGTTGAAGAATTAAAAAAAAATTTTTTTTTTTTTCAACAAGTCAGCCGTCTCCCACCGAGGCAGGGTGTATATTTTATTTTATCTTACGAAATGATAGAGAACCTTTTTCCAAAGGTAATGAAACCAAAAGTACAAAATCTGATGGAAAACTTACAGAATTACACTCTCGCAAGATTAGCAGTCTCGGTGATATTTATGCATTGGCAATTTCGCCCAATTTGCACCCTATTTTTGGCCAATTCCATTGTTCCAGTCGACCAAATTCATAGCTATTTCACCTATATTCCTTTTATTCTATTGACTGAGTACAAGAAACTGCCCATTTACTTATTTCAATTATGGAATAAAGTGATCAGAAATTGATAATTTGGCAAATTTCACACAAAATTAAAAAATTGCCAATATAAAAACTGGGTCCAGAAAAACAATGTAGACATCATGGCACAAAAAAAAACATTTCCTCTGTTCCTTAGTCATGTCTCCAGGCCCCTCTTATATCATGCTTGTTTTCCATTTTTTATTTTTATTCACACACAAAACAATAAAAGATTTACTGTTATGCAGACTACTGCAGTATTATAATAACTGTATAAATAATGTCAGTACATTCCTTTGTGTGTATTAGACTGGCAAGCTGGATGTGTAATGGGCAAGTGACGTCATTTGTGTACCCTGGAATATTGGCAAAAATCGAACATTTCTGCTACTATGAGCTTAATTTCAAGCTACTTTCAATCCTGAAACTAATCAGGGTCATCTCTGCTGCTGTGATATATCTTCCATTCTATCAAATAAGACCAAGAAACTGAGAATACAACCATAAAAAACCATACGAAAATACACTGCAACGTTGGTTTTAAACCAAAAACAGGGTCGCAGTTCTTCCTCATGCACTGTGTGCTGCAGGATTTTTTTTTTATATTTTGCACACTTACTGCATAGACCCATTCTCTCATATAGAGGCACATATTTACTGCTTACAGCTTATCTGAGTGAGCTGAGCTCATGGCGTTGTACCATGGGACTCGCACTGGCTTCAAAGCCAGAAATGTAAATATAACAAAGTAAATAGTATAAGAAAGTTTAAGATTTACCTGCCATTCTAAAAAGGTTCATGAACAGAAAAAAAAAAATTTCCTCCCAGATGCAAAATTTTAATAGATTTTGTTAATACTGGTTATAACAAGATAGTAATTTTTAAAGGGGGTGCCGGGAAACCCAGGGGAAAGGGCCCTTTTGGTCAGATCCCAAAAGCTTCAGCTGGGGTTATCATGTGACAAGACCCGCATCAAAAACACTTACCCTGTTTCCGGGCAAACTTACAACCCAAACAACTTCTTTTTTACATTTGTAAAACAAAGCATAATACTATTTTCCCTAATGGCTGCAACCTAGTAAACATTTAAAGTTATTCTTAAAAACCCCTGACTGTCGAAAACCCCAAAACCTGAGGTGTCCCCTGGTGTCGCAAAAAAAAAAAAAACTGTGAAATGAAAGGAATTTTTTCCCGATTTGTAATGACACCAAAAGAAAAAAATTTTTGAGGGAAAACTGATGGAATTAACCTCCAAAGTTTCGACCCGCGATTTTTAGAATGGGCGATTTCACCCACTTTGACCCTTTTTTCCCAGTAATTCCAAAAGTTCCGCAACCAAACCATTGCTATTTTTTTAGAACTCCATTTTTTCTATAAACTAAATACAAGAAACTGCCCTATTCCGATTTCAACTACCCAATAACGGGGTCGAAATTTTGCAATTTGGGCCAATTTCACGAAAAATAAAAATATGAAAATTTCAAAACAGGGTCCAGAATGAAAAATGCGACATTCCTGGCTCTACAATAACATTTTTCTTGTTCATCAGTACGTCCCAGGCCCCTCTGATATTACTCTTGCTTTTTATTTTTAAAATTTTTTTTCAAACAAAAATAGATTTTCTGTTATGCAGACTCTGCAATATTAATAAAAGTAAAAAAATGTCAACCCATTCATGATGATTCCCGAAGGCTAGTTGGACATTTATTGGAAAAAGAATCATATGTTTACTTTTAACATCGGGAAAAAAACAAACATTTTCCCCCATTTGAGCTCCCTTTCAGTTCTTTTTATATAAAACCAATCAAAATCACCTTATTTTATAACACGTTTTTTATTTTATGAATAGACCAAAAATGGGAAAACAACCATAAAACTATACTAAAATTTAAACCCCAAAAATCACATTTTTTAAAAAAAAAAAACGGACGGAGTTTTTTTTTTTTTCATATGACTGCGGTGCAGGATTTTTTTTATATGTGCACCTGACCACACAGACCCCTTCTCTCAATGTGGGCCCACCAGCTTTTCCTGTTTTTTTGAAGCTACAAATTTAGAGAAAAAACGTCTAACACGGGGGCTCGTAAGACGTATATATACGACCAAAACAGTCAAAGGGTTAAGTGTCAAAAATGTGCTTGTTAAGCACATAAATAGTGAGAGTTTTTGTACAACCTGTTTTAATTCAAAAAAATGTACCATCAATCAGTCATCTTTCCACCACCATTCGTTTTACAATGACTACCTAATGAGGATCCCATTTTCTTGTAAATCATAAGTGTAATGTTTTTCCAAGACTATTGCTGAAATAAATTGCATCAAAAAAGATATCAAATTCTTACCATGGCAACGAATGGGTTGAGGAATGTGAAAGCGAGAAGCGCATGGCATCCCAAAGAGACGAGTACAGCCAGGAACACCCAAAATATATTACGACCAGTTCGATCCACCACAAATCCCAGTATCGGAGAAGCAATAGCAGATATTATATAAACAATGCTGCTCACGGCATTGGAAGTTTTGTCATTCAGTTCAAATTTGCGCATGAAGAAAACCCTGTGAATGTAGCATACAAATTAAGGGAAAAATTATACTAATGAAAACATAATTTTTAATTTATATTTTATGTACCTTTTATTTTTATTTAAAAAATTAAACAGGTCAATTTTGATCCTGCACAATATTTATCAGAACTGTATTACAACAAAATTCTCAAATTTAACAGTGAATGATTGAAAACCAGAACTGTACAGTAAGCTTACTTTGCAAGGCCAATGAATGGAAAGATGGCAACATAATATGATACACAAATGACAGAAATCAACCAGAATGTGAGTGGAAATGAAAGGACATCAGACAGATGAACTTTTTCTCCAGTTTCAGCAGTATTAAGACGTAGAATTTTTGTTCGCCTTTTGTCAAGAATGCCTAAAAGTAGAGCGCATCCAAGGGAAAACAGGCAAGTGGCACCAGCTGTGTAAAAAATGCTGTATTAGTACCTATAATTATTTAATCTGTCAAGTGGCATCCCATTACTTTAAATATTTGTTTAACAAACAAGGTTTATTATAGGAAAGTTATGCAAAAAATGTACTAGTATTAGCAAGACATATCCGGTAAAATGAAGTAAAAAAAAAAAAGTCTACATAAAGCACAAAAGAATAATCACTGTTAACAGGTGAAGAATTACTACCATGGGGTAGCACAGTGGGGTGTGCACTGCTATCTGAGAACAAATGCCACAATATTTCATGACAGAGGACACAAAAATTATTTTCCCATTATGATCCATGATTATACTGAGTGAGCTTAATATTTATGATGAATTTACCATCTTTGGTGGGTGTGCAGCTCTCACCTAGCACATCTAGAATATATGCCCCTGATTACTATATGCCTAGAAGGTAAAAAAAACTTAATATATCAATAACAAACTAAGGAGCTAAGGAGCTATGCACTACAAATCTTATTTGCTATTTCTGGTGAAAAGGGTACGTATTAGTAGAGATTTGAAAAAGTACATTTTTAATTTTTTTTGCCTTTAATGTGGCTTTACTTGAAAATACAATTCTACACAGATGATTATAAACTCATCCTGAAACTAAAGGGTTATGAGAAAACTTGTAAGGTAAATTTATTTTTGTTGACAATATACTTGCCAATGAAACTTTTGCAAAATATTTTCAACTTTTCATATGAAAATCCTTAGTACACTATTATGAACCATTTCTGAGATTTACCAGGTTCCTTAAATTAATTTAGCTACTCGGTGACAGAATTTTATTAATATATATAAAGAACATACGTCAATGACAATTTTTTTGAAAAAAAAAAAAAATGATTAAATTTGCAGGATTTCCTTCCTTGGTAAGTGACAGTAGCCAAACAGTCACTTATCAATTCACAACTGTACTTTTGTACTAATCACACTCTAATAAAAACAAAATTTCTAAATGATGACCATAGACTTCAGCCATTACTTACCAATCATCAAAGAAATTCCAAGTTGCTTATGACCCTGAGCAAAAGTACCAACCCAATCATAGAGTGGCACCATGACTAGGAAGTTGACTGTTGAGCCAACCCTTGCCATACTTAATAACAGCCCAAATACTGTGTTCAGTTCTTTCCCTTTGAACCAACTAACAGTGTAGGTGTTTTGAGCAACAGCAAGTGATTCTCCACCAATACATAGAAAAAAATTATACAACTAAAATTTATATAAAAATATACAAAAATGAGTCAAGGAAATTAAAAAACGCATTAATCAATATTTAAATGCTGAATCAATCTTACCTTCCAAAAACTGTAATTGCTGTATTGCTGCATCTCTACGATTATACCCATACCTCCCATAGCAATAACATTATATAATCAATATTTGCTGTCAATACAGAAAAGAAAAACATAAATAGCAAAGCTGCATTTCTTAAGAAAAACTTATTTGCACTCTATTATTAGTGTTGAGAAAAATAAAAACAGATCTGGCATTAACAGTCACCTAATTTGTGCAAAATGTCTTATATGATGATAAAATAATTTATAGAAGAATGATATATTCTGACTTCTATTATTACAAAAGATGACCTGCTCTGCTGACCTTTTGTTAAATACAGTATGGTATTCTGCAGCAATGTTATAGTGTTTAAGATATCGTGGTACAACAGCATCTTAGGACAAATACTTTATTATATAAATAGGTTAAAATCCGACAAGTTGATAATTGAGACTTTTGAGCAACATATAAGTATCTTTACTCTGGAAGAGTTTTGCCAGCCAGTTACTTCATCAGTCCAATACAGAGATAAACAGTGGACAATGAGGAGTTTGAGGTAATCAGTTCCTCAGACTGAAGATGATGCATTCAGTCCATCAGTCCTGATCGAAGTACAGCACATGTGCAAGAAGGGGCTTATATACTGGAGATCAATGGATTTTCTCCACCAGTAATGCCACCTCCAATAACTTGCCCTCACTTAGTCTCCAGTATGTAAGCCCCTTCTCAGGCATATGCTGTACTTCCTTAAAGACTGATGGACTGAATACATCATCTCCAGGCTAAGGGACTAATTATCTCAAATTCCTTCATATTTTTCATCATTTTTCTCTGTATTGGACTAATGAAGCCGCGGGGCTGCAAAATTTTTCCCCAGAGAAAAAAGGGCCAAAGTTTTGTTCAAAAATTTTCCTCATTCATTAACAAATTTTTTCCCTTGGAAAACCCAGCTAAAAATTTTCTGGAATGAGAAATTTTATTTTTAAACAGTAAAATTTTTTTTTCTAGATTGCACCCCTCTACTTTTGGGTTGTAAAAATAAGCAAAAAATGGGAGATTTTATTTTTCTTTTCATTATTACTAAAAACAGGGGTGCTTTAAACTGCTTGGTTTTTTTTTCCGGGAGACTTCCTGTTATTAAGGATAGAGGTACTAAAACTAATACCCCTTCAAGTTATTGGGGGCCCAAGCTTTTTGAAACTCCCAAGTGATACTCTTTACAACGTTACCAACTCAAGCTGATTTTTTTTCAAAAATTGTTTTAATTTAAGTAAAAATCATTTTCCCATACAGTAAAAAAGTGTAAAATAAATGTAAGCAAAAAACAAAGTTTCAATAAAAAAAATCCTACAACATGTATTTTGGGTAGTTGGGGGGAAAAATTTTTCCATAAACACTTTGCTATATTTAAAAAAGGGAAAATTCTAGTTCATTCTTTTCTTTCGTTGACCTTTTTTTTTCCCCATGTACAGAATAAATTTTTTCACCCACATATTATGCTAAATAAAAGTTTCCCCCCCCCGCCTTTAAAGAAGGGATCGTGTTACGTAAATCCCCCCTTAAAAGAACATTTGAATTTCAAAAAATTTTTCCCCCACCTCACGATAAAAAAATCGCCCCCGGGAACATCCCCCTGCCCCCCCAGCACCATTTTACAAAACCAGCCAGTGCATCGCATCACCCCCTACATTTGGTATATTTCACAATTTTCCCAGTGTTTTTAGTGCCCTTTGACTGCCCAAAATTTAAATCACCCTGGACCCCAAAAAGCTTCTAGGGCCCTTCCCCGTGGTTTAAAAAAGGGGAAGAAAAATATGGGAATTGGAAAAAAAAGATTTATGGAAAAGTGTGGTAAAGTGGGGTTTTTAACTGCAAAAACCCTTTTCCGATGAAAACACCCTGAAAAAGCTACTCAAGGCCCTGTTTGGGAACCCCGTACAATACCCAAAGTTTTTGGGCCCCTTTTAAAGGGAAAATCCCTTTTTGGAACGGGGGTACAGAGCTCTATGGACGATTTGTTTTTTGCGAAAGAGGTCCAGTGACCCCTCAAGCGGTCCTAATTTTGGGATTAAAAAAAAAGGGAAGAAAACCCCCGGGAAAAAGGGCTTGCTAACCTCAAGTCCTAATGGAAGGGGGCCCCCTTTTAAAAAAAACTTTTCCCCACTCTCCCCCCCTCCCATCCCATTTAATCATCACCAGATCTTTAATAAAGGGAAGTGTCTGAAATTTTATTTTTAGTAAGTATAAAAAGTGTATTCTTCTTCAGTTTGTGTTATTAAAAATTTTTATTTCAAGGGTAAAAAAAAAATTTTTGGGGTCAGGAACGGATTAATATGATTTCCATTTTTTCTTATGGGGGAAAAATTTTTTCGGGTAAAATAATTTCGGCTTATGATGAGCTCTCCGGAACGGATTAATATCGTAAGGCGGGGGTCCACTCTATATCCTTTTCCTTTTTACAAACTGTTTTCTCAAGTACAAGCATAAAATAACTTTAATCTGTACAACAGACAAAACTACACGAGTTTTTCCCAAATGCTTCCATTGTTGATTTAAATGTGAAATTTTCTAGAAATAAGAAGCACATTCTATATAGCTCATTTTGTCAAGGAAGAAAAGTTTTCAGATAGAGCAAGCCATTCCAGATAAAATAATAAAATATTACTATATGCAGAGAAAAATAATAATAGTCACTCTGAATACATTACCAGTTAACTTACCCAAAAATAAATCTTCCAACTTGCATCATCCAAAATTGATTTATTATTCCACCCAATGCATAGACGAATTGGCCAAGTGTAACAATTGATGAGAAAATAATAGCACCTAGTCGAATACCAAAGATTCTGAAAAAGACAGTTGTAAACACTCGCTTCTTAAGTATTCTGCACATCATATACTATACATGTATATGTACTTTACACAAAAAATGGTTATCATAAATTCTATACATAAATTTAAATATAAGAAAGGCAATGATATCTCTCTTTGATTAATTAACTAAATAATAATTAACTGATCAGTAACATGTTAATGAATTAAGAGTATCAACATGACCAGAAAATTTTTATACAATTGTACGAGATTAAAAATGTGACAAAACATATTATCAATATGCATCCCCTACACATGCAGGACCTCATTCAGTTTTTTAAATGACAGTTAAGGAAAAATGATATTCTTGAAATGAGAATGAAGAATAATACATTTTAAAATATCTTAAAACACTGTACCTGTCAATGAGAAATCCTCCAACAAAGCAAAGAATCACATTTGGCCAAGAATAGAGAGAGTAAAGACTTGCAAACTGAAGAGTGTTGACATTCATATCACTCTTGATATGATCTTGCAGTGCTCCAGGGGTGTCATAACAGAAGTATGAGCCTGCAAGAAATAAAATGTACAATTATTTATTATTAATAATTTACTTCATTGTAGGTAGTAGGTTGGTAGACAGCAACCGCCCAGGGAGGTACTACCGTCCTGCCAAGTGAGTGTAAAACGAAAGCCTGTAATTGTTTTACATGATGGTAGGATTGCTGGTGTCCTTTTTTCTGTCTCATGAACATGCAAGATTTCAGGTATGTCTTGCTACTTCTACTTACACTTAGGTCACACTACACATACATGTACAAGCACATATATACACACCCCTCTGGGTTTTCTTCTATTTTCTTTCTAGTTCTTATTCTTGTTTATTTCCTCTTATCTCCATGGGGGAAGTGGAACAGAATTCTTCCTCCGTAAGCCATGCGTGTTGTAAGAGGCAACTAAAGAGGGTGCAAGGGGCTAGTAACCTTTTTAAATACTTCAAATGTAAAGGAGAAACTTCGTTTTCCTTTTGGCACCCGCTCGGTGGGATGGGCCGAGTGTGGAGAGAGAGAAGAATTTACTTCATATTATATAATCATGAATTTGTCAGTTAAAAACAGAGTAGGGGAGTTGGCAGATGGGGAGCTGGAGGTATTGGGTAGATGGCAGGAATATTCTGAGGAACCTTAAATGTCGATGAAGAAAGGGAGGTAGTAATTTCATGCACTGGCCAGGGAGGTAAAACATCTTTTAGGAGTGAAGAAGAGCAGGATGTGAGTGTGGGGAAGGTGTGTGAGGCATTACGTAGAATGAAATGGGGTAAAGCAGCTGGAACTGAGGGGATCATGACAGAAATGTTAAAAGCAATGGGGGATATAGTGTTGGAGTGGTTGGTATTTTTGTTTAATAAATGTATGAAAGAGGGGAACGTACCTAGGAATTGGCAGAGAGCATGTATAGTTCTTATATATAAAGGGAAGGGAGACAAAAGAGATTGTAAAAATTATAGGGGAATAAGTTTATTAAGTATACCAGGAAAAGTTAACAGTAGGGTTATTATTGAGAGAATTAGAGGTAAGACAGAGAGCAAGATTGCAGATGAGCAAGGAGGCTTTAGAGTGGGTAGGGGATGTGTATATCAAGTGTTTACATTGAAGCATATATGTGAACAGTATTTAGATAAAGGTAGGGAAGTTTTAATTGCATTAATGGATTTAGAAAAGGCATGGGATAGAGTGGATAGGGGAGCAATGTGGCAGATGTTGCAAATATATGGAATAGGTAATAAGTTACTAAATGCTGTAAAGAGTTTTTATGACGACAGTGAGGCTCAGGATAGGGTGTGTAGGAGAGAGAGTGATTACTTCCCGGTATAAGTGGGTCTTAGACAGAGATGTGTAATGTCACCATGGTTGTTTAATATATTTATAGATGGGGTTGTGAAGGATGTAAATGCTAGGGTGTTGTGGAGAGGGGTGGGATTAAATTATGGGGAATCAAGTACAAAATGGGAGTTGACACAGTTACTTTTTGCTGATGATACTGTGCTTATGGGAGATTCTAAAGAAAAGCTGCAAAGATTAGTGGATGAGTTTAAGTGTGTAAAGGTAGAAAGTTGAAAGTGAACATAGATAAGAGTAAGGTGATGAGGGTATCAAGTGATTTAGATAAAAACTGGATATCACATTGGAGAGAGGGAGTATGGAAGAAGTGAATGTTTTCAGATATTTGGGAATTGACGTGTCAGCGGATGGGTTTATGAGGGATGAGGTTAACCATAGAATTGAATGAAGGAAAAAAGGTTAGTGGAGCGTTGAGGTATATGTGGAGACAAAAAACGTTATCTACGGAGGCAAAGAAGAGAATGTATGAAAATATAGTGGTACCAACACTCTTATATAGGTGTGAAGCTTCGGTTGTGAATGCTGCAGCGAGGAGATGGTTGGAAGCAGTGGAGATGTCCTGTCTAGGGCAATGTGTGGTGTAAATATTATGCAGAAAATTTGGAGTGTGGAAATATGGAGAAGGTGTGGAGATAACAAAAGTATTAGTCAGAGGGCTGAAGAGGGGTTGTTGAGGTGTTTGGTCATTTAGAGAGAATGGATTAAAGTATAATGACATTAAGAGTGTATAAATCTGTAGGGGAAGGAAAGCTGGGTAGGGTCGTCCTTGAAAGGTTGGAGGGAGGGGGTAAAGGTTTTGTGGGCGAGGGGCTTGGACTTCCAGCAACCGTGTGTGGGCGTGTTAGATAGGAGTGAATGGAGATGAACGGGTTTTGGGACCCGACGAGCTGTTGGAGTGTTAGCAGGGTAATATTTAGTGAAGGGATTCAGGGAAACCAGTTATTTTTATATAGCCGGACTTGAGTACTGGAAATGGGAAGTACAATGCCTGCACTTTAAAGGAGGAGTTTGGGATATTGGCAGTTTGGAGGGATATGTTAAATATCTTTATATATGCTTCTAAACTGTTGTATCTGGGTGCCTCTGCAAAGACAGTGATTACATATGAGTGAGGTGAAAGTATTGAATGATGATGAAAGTATTTTCTTTTTGGGGATTTTCTTTCTTTTTGAGTTACCCTGCCTCAGTGGGAGATGGCTGACTTGTTAAAAAAAAATGTATATATGTTGTATATACACACACACGTATATACATACATACTTATTATGAGGATAACAAAAAGATTAGGTGATGAAAGATTGAATATCAGATTGGAGGGAGAGAGTATGGAGGAGGTGAACGTATTCAGATATTTGGGAGTGGACGTGTCAGCGGATGGGTCTATGAAAGATGAGGTGAATCATAGAATTGATGAGGGAAAAAGAGTGAGTGGTGCACTTAGGAGTCTGTGGAGACAAAGAACTTTGTCCTTGGAGGCAAAGAGGGGAATGTATGAGAGTATAGTTTTACCAACGCTCTTATATAGGGTGTGAAGCGTGGGTGATGAATGTTGCAGCGAGGGAGAAGGCTGGAGGCAGTGGAGATGTCATGTCTGAGGGCAATGTGTGGTGTGAATATAATGCAGAGAATTCGTAGTTTGGAAGTTAGGAGGAGGTGCGGGATTACCAAACTGTTGTCAGAGGCTGAGGAAGGGTTGTTGAGGTGGTTCGGACATGTAGAGAGAATGGAGCGAAACAGAATGACTTCAAGAGTGTATCAGTCTGTAGTGGAAGGAAGGCGGGGGTAGGGGTCGGCCTAGGAAAGGTTGGAGGGAGGGGTAAAGGAGGTTTTGTTGTGCGAGGGGCTTGGACTTCCAGCAGGCATGCATGAGCGTGTTTGATAGGAGTGAATGGAGACAAATGGTTTTTAATACTTGACGTGCTGTTGGAGTGTGAGCAAAGTAACATTTATGAAGGGATTCAGGGAAACCGGCAGGCCGGACTTGAGTCCTGGAGATGGGAAGTACAGTACCTGCACTCTGAAGGAGGGGTGTTAATGTTGCAGTTTAAAAACTGTAGTGTAAAGCACCCTTCTGGCAAGACAGTGATGGAGTGAATGATGGTGAAAGTTTTTCTTTTTCGGGCCACCCTGCCTTGGTGGGAATCGGCCAGTGTGATAATAAATAAATAAATATAACTTATTATACTCTAGGTAGTAGGTTGGTAGACACCAACCGCCCAGGGAGGTACTACCGTCCTGCCAAGTGAGTGTAAAACGAAAGCCTGTAATTGTTTTACATGATGGTAGGATTGCTGGTGTACATTTTTCTGTCTCATAAACATGCAAGGTTTCAGGTACATCTTGCTACTTCTACTTACACTTAGGTCACACTACACATACATGTACAAGCATATATATACACACCCTCTGGGTTTTCTTCTATTTTCTTACTAGTTCTTGTTCTTGTTTATTTCCTCTTACCTCCATGGGGAAGCAGAACAGAATTCTTCCTCCATAAGCCATGCGTGTTGTAAGAGGCGACTAAAATGCCAGGAGCAAGGGGCTAGTAACCCCTTCTCCTGTATATATTACTATATGTAAAAGGAGAAACTTTCGTTTTTCCTTTTGGGCCACCCTGCCTCGGTGGGATACAGCCAGTGTGTTGAAATAAAGACTTATTATACTACATACATATCTATAAATAATTTGCACACTGGGGGAAGAAACTTATGATGATGTTTCAGTCCAACTTGGGCCATTAACTAGTTAATGGTATATGGACCATTAATTAGTTAATGGTCCAAATCAGGCCAAAATGTTGTCATAAGTTTCTTTCTCTCATGTGCGAATTATTTATGTACTGTTCCAGTCATGTTATTGTGTCTTTTATTCTTGAATACTAATAACAATATTATTATTCAAGAATAAAGGTGTGGGTGGGTGTGAGTTGGACCTGACTAACTGGTGCTACTGGGTCAGATGCCGTGCTCCTCCCTTAAGTGACGTGACTGACCTGACTAGGTCAAGGCATTGGCTTAAGCCGGTAGTAGAATTGGATCTGCCTCACATAGGCCAGTAGGCCTGCTTCAGTGTTCCTTCTTTCTTATGTTCTTACATGTACAAGGTATACAGGCCTAGCTGATATCAATGACATACTGTATAGAAAGTGCCTTGTTATGCAGAGCATTTCGGGCAAATTAGGGCAGTTTTGTCCCAGGATGTGACCCAAACCAGTCGACTAACACCCAGATATCCATTTTATACTGATGGGTGAACATGGACAGCAGGTGTCTTAAGGAAACACGTCCTAATGTTTTCCAGCCATACTGGGGATTTGATCTCTGGACCTCAGTGTGTGAGCTGAGTGCACTAGCGATCGAGCTACATACACACATACATACATGCCTCAAGTTCAATTCTCAGGCAGGTTAAACAGTATCAATATTATATACTTGCTGTCACAATTCATTAGCAGTAAACTTGTGCCTGTGTTAGTCAAATGTTTTGAATTGCATCCTGATGAGACAAAGGACTATTTCTGTAATGGGCAATTACAAAAAAAAAAAAAAAATGTACTGAATAAACGCAGGCACAAGATGAACATAAACAAAAACTTTCCAAATTAAGTAAATTGTAGGTGAAATCTTTTCTTGGAATTACTTACAGTGCAATATCTAAACACAAAAATTT